CCTTCAGGTAAAACTAAAAGGCAATCAATATCTGGAGCAGACGGTATACTTTCCGTTACTAAATAACAAAAAAATATATATTATTTATAGGGCTCCATCGGTGCTTAAGGGAAGGCAAGTGACATTCACGTAGGAGACCCGAAACTCGTGTAGTATGCTAAGAGGACATAAACACGGTCACCAGTGGCCGACTTTTTAAGAGCTCATAATTTTGCGATAAACGCCGTTCATTCAACAGGAAAGCAGGCATGCTCTAGCTATAGCACTGCCTGAAAGTCATACTTTAAATCCTGGGTTTTTTATTGGGCAACAGTGAGTCTATTATCTCACAATAGACCCTTTAGCGGCAGTGAAGTATGTGTGCAAGGAAAGTATTTGATGTTTTACGCTTACTCCTTTTTTTCCGTATGAGGGCTTCTGATGGGCATACATGGCCATTCGCGTACTTAAGATTTCCTGCAATGCTGATTATTTCTCTTGTCACTTGGCATCCACCTAGAATATACGAAATACCTATATTTTCTACAGCTAGAGAACAAACTTAAAAGCACACAATGGAGAAACCAATCAATTAAACTCGTCTCCTGCCTTAGTGTTCTAGAGACCCTTTGTGAAATCCCGAAAGGTACTCAAATCTGAATATTCTGCAGCTTTACGGATAATATATTTGGGTGTGCATTTTATTGGAAAAGTTGAAGAATATTACGTTTTCGAAAGTGTTGGTGTCCTCTGTCTGCAAAAATTCCGATTCCAGACTGCACCGAATATTGCTGGGCATCTGTCTGCTTGAAAAGTTGAGCGACAAGGTAATAATTTACAGAAAACGACAGTGGCGTCAGAATAAAACAGTTGAAGTATACCTGTAATGTATTGAATGCAAACCCACTTACGTTGCTAAAATATAATGGGGACTGCAGCAAATCTTGAATCCATGCAGAGAAAGATAGTAAGCGTAAAACAACGAATACTTTCCTTGCACACATATTTCATCGACACTACAATCCTTATTAGCGGATATTAGGATTTAAGTCTGATTTTTGCAAGCAGTTCTAGAGATAAGAGAGACTTACTTCGCCATGGTCTCTTAGATAATGAACAATTGGGTGCTCTTTCCATGTCACTGTCAAAATATTGCACGGTTCGCTCTTCTGCTACGCGAATTTTGCTTGCCTCCCTTTGAGCACTGGCAGAGTGTATGCAGCCTGTAGGGATGATAGACGGAGTAACACTTGTAGATAATAAGCTAAGGAGTAGAAGACGGAAAATCCGACGGATGCGCCCCGATTTTTACTGCGGGTAATTACAGAACTCTATTTAACGTGAATTGGCCTATTGACGACTGTCAGTCATGCTGCACTGCTACATTTATGACACTCCCGCTGTGGGATCCTAGTCAGATTTGTTGGCACGCTCTGGCCGCCCCACCTACCTAGGAAGAGAGAGAGAGAGTGCGGTAGATGCAGTGCAAGTATACTCTTATTTCTGGCTAACTGTTAACAGCTGCGCTAGCGTCCCCTGTCCTTCGGCTTTCCGGTGGCCCCACAGTTGGCCTCAACTTATTCAGCAATAAACATACGTGCGCGCACACCCGCGCATACACACGCGTCCAAAGAAGCAGGCCTGCCTAAGGAACACTTACTAGCCCACCTCTATGGCCAACGCAGCAGGGCGCCTCCGCAGGCGATATCCCCTCGGGCAATTGCAAACCACCTACAGCAAACCACTTGAACTTGCTCCGCAGTCCTACTTAAGCAGCTGCCACCACTGTCCCATGCTCTCTCAGGTCTCATTAATTGCCGCGATTTCCTTGTTCCTGTTGGATGCGGGCTTGATAATTGCGCGACAATTATGCTTTCTGTCGTCGCAGTTGTTGCTGGGCCCGGCCCTTCCCACGTGACTGATTCTCTTGCTCAGACAATGTCTGAGTACGCAGTATGGGAACGGCAAATGCGCTTGTTGATGGACTGGGGGCTTAAGAGTCATGACTTGAAGCTCGCGGCTCACGCGGTTATCACCTCTTGCGAGGATTTCGGCCTCGGACAGATGCAATGACTTCCCCAACCAAAATCGGTGCTGAGACTGAGGTTGGCCGAAATAGATCACCACTCGGGGAACGTAAGGGTGATCACATTTTCCAGAACCATTGTTTGTGCTTCCGTTGGCTGAGCAATTCTCATGCCAAAATCCAGCACGAGTAATAGACTTTCACCAGGTCACCACCGCGACATAAGCGCACAAGCGGTAAAGCGATAAAGGTGAAGGGGGGGACTATCTAGTAGCGTAACGACCACCTTCTATCAATAATACAAAAATCCTGTTTGTGCTACTGTTTCCAAATATCAGGCGAATATCGTTTTCGTCTCAGCAATCGTATTTACTTCTTTTTTGATTACTAGGAAGAGAGAGTGCGGTAGATGCAGTGCAAGTATACTCTTATTCGTGCGCATGTCACCGCGCTGGCTTGATGCCCGCGGTGGACATCGTTGGGATCGACGTTCTAACTCTAATACGTATCCGTATCGTATACCAAATCTCGTTTACACTCATCCCGTAATGTTGCTCTAGTACTACGAATGAGCATTGTTTTAAGACTACCAGATTAGTCGACTTTCCTATTTTAGACCAATCACAACTCAGTTTAATCTGCGTGTTTTCTAACGCTAACAACATTTTATTCAGTATGTGCCTCTCTTCTATATAACGTTTCGTTTTTTGCAGGAAGGAGTTAAAAACCGAGGGATCGGGCCTGAGCATCGCGAGGTAATTCTAACAGTCTGTGATTGGTATGTACTGCATTTAAGCTTCTGAATCACTACCGCCATATAAGCTTGTAAGATTTAATTTATCCTACATTGCGCTGTTGTTAGTCACAGCGTCGAAGTGGGCGACTGTGTGCCCAGCAAGGCTCAAGTGGATCCGATGGAAGTGGTCGCGCAAACAACGAGGATGAGTGGCAGCCCTCGTCAGTGCCGTCACCTTCACCTGCTGAGGTGAACCGTGGAAGACTGACACCAACCATTCTCTCAAGTCTTTTAACGGGGGATTTGAACGCGGCAACATGCTTATCTATTCCTACTATAGCTTCTGGTCCAAAAAGCCCTCTGGAGGCAAACAATTCTGGTGCGTCCTTTTTTATCACTCCCTATCCTCACAGAGATGCAGTTGTGCAAGGTAGAAGAACCCACTGGCGAGGAACCTGCAAACCATTTAGAAGGCGATCGCAATTTGTGTGAGTAATGCTTACTTCCTTTACATTTACCCTCATCCACATTGCGTTGTCCTATGATGCAGTATAACTAAGTCCCATGGT